TTGCGCAACATAACCTTTTATTTTTTACGCTTATTAATGAAACGTGTGTGGGATGAGGATGGGAACAGATAGGAACTTGCAAATTTGTTGTTCCCATCATGTGATTTTTAATCCGCCAATCAGGGATCGGCACAAATTGGAACGGAACGGAACGGAATTGAACAGGCCTATTAAATTAGAACATTATTTTGCAAACTAGCAATTGGGGTATGTCTATTGTTCAACCCCCATATTTTTACTCTTCTTGTCGTTTGATATCGCGTAGATCGAGAAAACCTTTAAAAGTTTATATACTTGTAAACGTATTAGTCATAGCGAATTTTCGACACCCTAATTTACCTTATGATCTACTTGTATTCGTGGCGTTTAGGAGTTTGATGATCCATTTCATCATCATAAAACGCTGATTGGACTAACGTCAGATAAGGAATTATCTCACGATTATCAGATCGATGGGCCAATCTACTGATAACACTATTTTATCATTGGTGATTAGATGATATGGGCGCATAATAATAGTCAGCTAATTAGGGGGAACCACGTTTTCGGGAGAAGGGGGAAACTCATCAAACCATATTGGACAAAAAAGTATGCACAATATAACTCTACTATCATTGTTACGATTATCTATCGATATTAAATGATCGATGTGACATCGTATCTCACACTGTAACTGCGGAACGATATATGATAAATGACTTTTGATAAGCACTGTGAAACCGCTATTAGTTTATATTATAAAATAAACAGTAAACATTCCATCTATCCTTATCACACAGATTAACTCCCAGGATCGGGTAACTTGTGGGGGAAGCTTTTTCCAGTTTTGTGGCTATCTTTACAACACAACAAACTTTCTCCACTTTACGATTAAATGTCACCATGAGCATCACCGTATACCCTTCTCCAGCTTCTTCTCAACCGGTGCTTACAGAGTCTGTTCCGTATACTATTCTACCTGCTCCATTTGCCTCCGTTGTTGTTTTCAGCGCTGCTCAACATCAGCAAGCAAAGCAGATAGTAGCAGTCTTAGATCAGGAAATTAGAAACTCTGGAGGTAAAGTAAATTGACTATTGTCGTTATTCGAGAGTCGTGATGAGAGTAGCAAACCAACGAGAATTGCGAATGAGACTTGACATCTCCGAATTAACTTGTTAGGCGTATATGTAACTTACCACCACCGAAAATTCCCTTTATTTTTCTTTAACTAGTCAAGATAAAGTTTATCGACGATAAATTGTCAACAGATGAGAAGGCAGAATATACAATCATCATGGAGGATATTACTCCCCTCTACGCAAAGATTAATCGATTGATACCTCTGTATTACCTACTAACCAAGAATAGCAAGAAAGCAGTCAAGGAAATGCTAACAATGGTATTTATAAGAAATCGCAAAGGGTGAAGGTGTGAGTTGGGAAATATACGAGATAAGATAAGATCATAATCAGTTCTAGACCACGTAGATCGTTTTAGCCGTAACGCTAAGATTCATAACGATCGTTATCATTCACGCACTATCTTCTTTTTCCTCCTACAGAAATACATGATACAACGGCAATTCATCGCTTTACCTGAGGACAAGTACGTTCTGAGGCTGGCAGATCTCAAAGCTCAACGGGATCTCTTGGCTCAATTGGAAAAATTCGAGGAACAAGCTCAGAAATTATCAACGGAAGGCGGATATGCAGTGTGTGAAGTAAGATTTGAATGGACCAAGACCAATAACAATGAGAATGCTGATACCTCTAGCAATCCTAGTAACAATCGACTAACTCCCCCGGCTTGTGATGACGCTGAAAGGATGATAGTTGATGAAGTCGAACAAGACGGAAAGATTACGTCAAATATATCACCAGCGGTGAAGACAACACTCGCAACAGTATCACCTCCTCCATCACCGCTCCCACCACCACAGACAATGCCGACGGGTGCGCGGGCCCTGGCCAAATTTCTCAGTCTAATTCCGCCAGATGGAAACGATAATAATTCAATAGAATATTTATCGGATCGGGTGGGCGATCTATTTATACCAATGAGGAAAAACAACAACACCGTGCCTGCCGCTACCACAGGAAATGCTAATGCAAACAACGTAAGAAATAATTCCGACACATTACCTTTGAGCGGGATTACCAACAACCTTACATTCGCTAGATCGGCGGATAAGGTATCTGCAGGAGTACAAATAACGCCATCTTTGGGTAAAATGAAAAAGAGCACAGAGGCGGGACGAAGGCGAACAAATCAGAAAAAAGAGTTGAGGAAGGATATCGTAAACAATAAAGCTAATGTTAATGAGAATATGGCAGTAGATGAAAATAGAGAAATAAGTGATAGTCCTGGTCATAACAATGAGAACAACACGGCAAAAGTATTAATAAAGGATGAGAGTAACACCTCTACAAATACCACACCTCTTACGACTGCTAATACTAACATCAATGAACTAGTCAAGAATGAAGAGACGTCAGCAAAGAACACTCATGCTAACATAAGCGGGAACGAGTCGATGCAGATTGAAGATACAAGTGATTTCATGGCAGAGTGATGAGGAACAATTTTTTTTCCCCGGGCAAGGTTGGGGAAGGTGTGGTGGTGTGTGAGAGAGTGGATGGGTGTGTGTTGGGGGAAGGGAGATTGGGTGGATGGACACGCTATAAACGCGGGGGGACTTGAATGATTTTAAGGATATTTATTCAATGTTGGTTGAAATGTTGCAAGACAAACTTTTCTTGTGATTGAGCGATTATAGTGGCTGTGTGTTAGTATTTAAAAAAAAAAGGCCAAACATGATTAGACCCGAGTAATTGATTATAATTAGCTCGTTTAATTTCATGCATTCGATCACTGAGCTTTTTTCTTTTTGTAAGTAGATTGATTCTGGTAGTAGTTTATTCAATTCCGTTAAATGTAAAAGTAATTCAACACTGATTGCACCCAGGATTCAAATAATAATCATATGTAAAGACTATCAATATTGATAATAAATAAATGGCTTAGAAAATGCAGACGGCTAATTCGAAACGAATGACAAGTTGTCAGGACACGCGATTAATAGCTTGGCGAAAACGAAATAGTCGCGGTTGAATTAAGAATGGAAATGCTCGATCAGTGAATGCGTTCTTTCAGTGACGGTGATTGTCAATGCTATTGGACTTGCAGACCCGATTTTGGTTTTTCCTCATGTCACGTCACGTCACGTTTGCATAAGAAAGAAAAAGAACGCTTTCATCTATGAATAGACCATGACTGGGATCTTCAAGGTATGGCGATGCAGAGGGCGAATTGTGCCGTAGGTTATTAAGTTTTCGCTACAAACAAGTGTACTGAGGGACACGCCTTTGCCACCAGGAACTGTAACATGTTGGCTCTTGCTTTCGGTAGACTATCCCACCACGTGGTTCAGCCCTGGATCCTGTTCGTGTTCAAGTCAGGTATTGTGAAATAATAATGTTAATGGCATTCATACAATTTACAGTACTCTTGGAATAGCAATGAATCGCGTCTCTCTTAATTGCTGATTTAGCCGATTCCCGTTGTCCGCCTCCAAATACATTAGAAGTATAGAATTGACTAACTTATTCTTCCTTTTTTTTTCCCCTCTCTTCCTAGCTTTAATCAAGTCAAATCTTCTCAATACGGATAAAGACGCCTTTCCCGCATGCAAACACGCTTTCAGACATTCAGCAGAGAAATTAGTGACCGAGTTCACGGGTTGAGAATGTAGACGAGTTTTGGTTTCGATTTGCACCTTTTGGTTGGGGATTGAACAAAATCGAGTTGAGATTGGCATGTGCTTGGAATGGCCCCATATACAGTACATCCCTCCAACGCTCACTTGTTACAAGATATCCGGCTTGTCAACAAACCCAGCCTTACTCACCAATCATTTTGCAGATTGCCCTTTTGCATCAACTGCAAAGTATTGCTAAATGAGTTGGATTTGCTTTCTGCGAGTCATATCCAATCTTAATAACTGATCCAGCAATTACATAATCTGTGTGGGTAGATTTGATGGTTAGCAGCAAGTCGAACAATTATCACTATTCTAAGCAGTGTCATTATTACAAGCGTAGCCGTTGGAACCACTCTTCATAACTCTAATACAAGTCGATCGAATACCTAGCCTGTTTACGTAGAATCGACACTGTAAAACTTTCTGATTTGTAATAAACTCGACATGTTGCAACAGATTACAAATGTAAATGTTCTTTATATTCCAATTTGTAAATGATAATGCAATTTTCGTGTTCATGGCTATAAACGTCACAATGACGATTAATAGATTCTGTGGCACATTTAACATTTGAAAATGTTTAGGCGTCTCTGACTCTTGTCGCCATTATTACAAACTCGTGCATACGGATAAAATAATCGCTCGGTACAGCATACTCGAAAATCGGTTATTCATGCGTTATTTATCTTTCCATTCGGATCCTTGAATCACCCGTAAAGTGTGCAGATAATTTAAACAAAGTAAAGCACACAACCAAACAAACACAAATAGTTAGACAGATTACGAATATTTTCTCATAACACGTTTCCTAATTAATGCCAACGATTATCGTGGAAGCAAGAATTACGAGAATAGTAATTTATTGCATATAATGATGCACCTTTATCGTCGAACCATATTTTAACACGATCTTTAATTTTCCGACTGCTTTCTTATAAAGATAATTATTTGTTTGAAAAGTCAGCAAATTTTCGGATAAATAAATCCAAATTGGGTTTCCGGAAGTAATATATTAGTATTTGTGACACGTTTGCCGAGTGATAACTGAAGCAGGTCCGGACTTTTCGGATTGGCTCCGACAAACGGTACAGAAATTAGTGAATGTCGGGAAAATTTATCCACCGAGTACCAATTACATCATTTCCCATCTCGTGTCATTTAATTATTGCATTAACCCTACCACCCCTTTCCGTGTTGGAAGTTGAAATACCAAACCCAAGACGGAAAAATTTAGGACCACCCAATACTAAGATTACTTTTCTTCAAAACTTATAAATTGGACGGATGGACGGCAAGCAAAATTTATTCAACAACTACAGTCGATTTCAGATCCAACTCTAGTCTACAAACCTTTTTTCTCTCTTACACTTAAAAGAAATCAAACCACGATGACTACCATTACTATTTCAAGTGACTATGGTTATGTATGGATATCAATTTCGTACAACTCATGTCAGCCCAGCATACATACCATCTAGATTTGTTTTTGACTATTTGCATCGAATTTATAATACTAGGTCCTCCTCGCCGGTGTGGCTTCCACGATAATGACAACTTATCTTGGACTGCGTGTTGGTGGTGCTCGTGCCAGAGCAAAAGTTCCTTATCCATTTTGTAAGTATAATATTCTTGACTAATAGTATTTCGGAAACATAAAAAAAAAGCTAAATTTATCACATGATAATATTTATAGTGTATGCAGAGAAAGCCGAAGCCGAACAAGATAAAGACAAAATGGTTTTCAACTGTTATCAAAGAGCGCATCAGGTAAAAATAAAGTAATATGTGCGATCAGTATTCGACAGGTTTGAGAATTTATTATTTATCGAGTTTACTTTTTATTTATACAGAATACTTTAGAAAATTATCCCAGCTTTCTCCTCACGTAAGTTTGTGTTTCCAGTTATTTTTGTTATAATCACTTAAAATCACATTATTACTAAATTTAGAACCTTGTAATTTTTTCAGACTTTTCGTAGCCGGTGTTGGATTTCCGAAAATTGCCGCAGCCTCAGGCTTTGTATGGATCGCGAGTCGCCTTGCATATGCTCACGGATACTACACCGGTGACCCTAAAAAGAGATCGAGAGGATTTTTCGGCTATATTGGGATGTTGACATTATTGGCTACTTCAACTCTTACTGGAGTAAAAACGATAACAAATGGCTTTTAATCTAGAGTTCAAATATCATTTCTGTTACATATTTATACATTAATAAATGACCCTATATTAATCTTTAAAACCAATGCTTGTTTATTGCGTATAAACAAATACGTCAAATTCCAAAATTGAGAAAGAAACCAATGATGAGTAAGGCCGGACATAAATATATTTACTAGCTCCATTGGCATGTCATTTTTATGAGGCCGTCACTATATAACCGGCGGCGTTGTCATTGAGGATCACTTTGAAAGTTTTTAATCTTTATTCAAGACCACCGCATTAGCAAATGTCGCTGAAGTTGTAAAATCGCATTAATATTAAACACTCTAATTGATGCTGATACATTTTAATAATATTTTCGCTTTGTAAAAAAGAATTTTTTTGGACCCTGAAATTTTACATATGGTTTTTGATTATATACTGTATATTAATATATACAAATATATTCTATATATAATATTTTCAATATACTTTTTTACTCCCTCTCTTTGAACCTCTTCAATAATAGACTACTCATTATAACACTAATCGAACTAACAACCATAGCCAATCCAGCCAATTCAGGCGGTAACCCTATTTTAAATATGGGGAAAAACACGCCAGCAGCTATCGGAATAGCCAGACTATTATACAAAAAAGCCCACATAAAGTTAATTCTTATTCTTTTGATTATCGCCTGCGATAACCGTATCATTGTAATCAGCGACGCCAGAGTAGACCGCGTGAGTATAACCGACGAAGACTCGATCGCAATGTCCGTGCCCGATGCGATCGATATCCCCAGATCAGCCTGAGCCAAAGCGGGTGCATCGTTTATCCCATCTCCGACCATGGCCACGACCGGTCGATTAACAGATGCGGTGGTGGGATTTTCTTCTTCTTGCGGAAGTTTCTTTAACATTTTTATTGGAGACTTGGTGTTTTTGATCATTGCGTAATCTTGTTGTCGTCGCTGTAGCCATTTGATCTTTTCCGCTTTGTTCTCGGGTGTTACTTGAGCAAGGACGTTATCGATACCCACTTGTCTAGCAATCTCTTTGGCCGCAATGGGATGATCTCCGGTAATCATCCATACATCTATTCCCATACTCTTTAGCGCATTAATCGTATTAACCGAGTCGGGTCGAACAACATCAGCTATTCCAAACTGAGCTATAATGAAACGAGAATTGTTTGCGTTTGCATTTGCGTCTGTGTCTGTGCCCGTCTTGCCGACTGCATTCATGTCCATGGCTGCTACAACAACTGATTGTCCCTGTTGACGCCATTTGGTGAGCGTGGATTGTGTTTTTTGTTTGGAAATATCGGGCGGATAAGCAAAGCCGAGAGAATCAATCCAGTCGTAATTACCAACGTATACTGTGAGTTGATGGCTTGCTGATGAGGACAGTTTGTGTGGTAAAAGTATCGACGATTGCGGTGCCGATACAGTGACTGTAGCCTGCAATCCCTTACCGGGTACTTCTGTTACCGCGTCGAGCGTTATACCAGTCAATGACGCGAACGATCGAGACTCGTCAGCATCTGATTGATGAACATCCGGTTGCAATTTGGCGAGTATATATTGTGACACTGCGCGTGCGAGAGGGTGGTCACTTGCCGACTCGACAGATCCGAGAATGTGTAGTAGCAATTCCTCCCGCTGCTGTCTATCTTTTTCGATCAATTCATTTTTGGCATCGACATACAATTCAGAATTGACCACCTTTGGTTTACCATACGTGAGAGTACCCGTCTTATCGAATGCAATGGTATTAATGCGACTGGCCATTTGCACCGCTTCTCCGCCTCCCTTGATTAATATTCCCAGCCTGGCTGCGACTCCTGTACCAACCATGATGGCCGTCGGAGAAGCTAATCCCATTGCGCATGGACAGGCAATGACTAATACTGAAATGGCGAAAAATAGTGCAAACACTAGATAACTCTGATGTTCTGGTATCCATTCCTTGGGAATCGCGTTGGTAGCTCCGAGAATTATCCAAATTACAAAGTCGACCAAAGATATCAATATTACCGTCGGAACAAAGTACTGTGATATCTTATCAGCCAACACTTCAATCGGTGCCTTTTTTGATGCTTGTGCTTGGTGCACCAGATTAATTATTCTAAAAAGAGTAGTGTCCGATCCAACGTGTGTTACTCTAATCCAGGTAGGCGAGGTAAGGTTGACCGTGGCTGACATTACCTGCTCTCCCTTGGATTTAGCGATCGGTATCGGTTCACCGGTAAGCATCGATTCGTCAATCGTGGTAATGCCGCGGATTATTACTCCATCGCAGGGAAACTTGGCTCCAGCATTGACTTTGAGGGTATCTCCGACTTTGCAAGACATTAAAACGATAATATTAGCGAGTTTTTCAAACAAAAAAAATTTTGAATAGTCATTATCGCTTTACCTTGTATTAACGCTAGATCAACTTCTTCCTCAATCTCTTCGTCGCCATTGACTTTATTCTCTTTTACTAGGATTGCCTTATCTGGTTGTAGTTCCATTAACTTGGTAATACTGTCCAACGTCTTTCCTTTCGCCATTGCTTCCATCCATTTGCCGAGCCATATGAAAGTAATTAAAAATACAGACGTCTCGAAAAATTGCATTCCGTCCGAGTCAATTTGGTTAGTCATCGCCATTATGACGTTAGCGATTGATCCAAAATAGGCAACCGACGTTCCAATGGCGACAAGCGTTTCCATGTTGGCCGCGTGCGCATAACGCAGTGATTTATACGCTTTGATGTAAAATGGAGCTCCGAGATAGAATTGTACGGGAGTAGCCAGTGTAAATAAAATTAGAGTGCCAATGTCTAGTCCAGGTGTAATTTGAGTCTGTAGCTTCATTCTGACTGGATTATCGTTTGGTAACCATAGCATTATGACCATTGCTATAAGAAAAGTAGGAATGCCGGCAGCAAGAGAAATAAGAAATCTCCTTTGAAGCAACTTTTGTTGTTTTATTACTCGTTCTCGTATCATATTTTTATTTGATTGGGTCACCATTAATTTGGCATCGTATCCAACATTATTCACTGCGTCTATTAGATCGCGTGGTCCTGTAACACGTGACAGATGCTCTATCAATGCTTCATTAAGCAAGAGGTTGACATTAACCGACAACACTCCTGGTAATTTTTGTAGAGTGTCTTGTATGGTGTTGACACAGGAAGCACACGACATGCCGGTAATAGACAATCGAGTTGTTGTTGGAGGCAATTCAGTGCTAGTAACGTCTGATATCTGCGCAGGAGTCTTGATATCGTTGGTAGCTGACTTGTGTTCAATGTTCTGGGGTTGAACAGTGACCGAATCGACTTCATACCCAATATTAGTAATAGCATCAGAAATAGCTACTGTGGTGAGCGATGGATCGGTAAAATTGAAGCGTGTGTCTCCGGTAAGTAAATTGACAACGACAGATTCTGTTATAACAGATGGGAGTAATTTTACAGCTCTCTCAACTGCTGAGACGCAACTAGCGCAGGTAAGTCCTAATGTGGTTAAAGAGGCCTTGTATAGTGTGTTATGGTGCGACGAATCTATAATTATGGATGGAATATCGTTTTGATTATGGTGAGCCATTATTGAGAAAGTGATAATGGTTTAGTAGAGTATTGGGACACATCTGCAAAGAGGCTCTCATTATATATATCCCGGTTTATGCAATTGAGGGAATTATTACAAACCGACAATTATGATGTAATCAATATTATAGAGTGGTATAATATAAATATTATTCTTTCGTTACTCGTTGCGGCATTTTTGCTATGGGATGATCGGTGGCACAGTAAACAGCGCTAGACCGAATATGGAATATCCCGACAATTATTAACGTTAAAGCAGCAATTATAATGGCATGCCCGTTGTCCAAATCCGAAACAACCGATAATTGATGTTTAATAATTTTGATTGAACAACAATGTAAGATGTGCTTCTTCTCAATCTGATTTTTCGAAACAGGTTGATGGGCGAGAAACAGCTACATTATTGTTTTCGTCGTCTGGCAGTGATGTTATAATAATTACGCAATAAGGCCAACAATATGACCCAGTATTTAATTGACTGGCTGCACTCCCTGAACTTAAATAGAATTTATGCAGGTCGCCATTGTCCATCATCGGCAACCAATTAAAAATGTGATTCAAAAAATAGCTCAAATTTAGGTCACATGAATTAAAAGTTGCTGCGGTAAACATAATTTTAAAGTATAAAAAAATTCGCAAGTTTGTTAATAACGATACATACCTGCGGTTAGCTACCACGGACAGACTCTGATTTGTATACAAGGAGAAGAGTCTGACACTGTTCAACCATTCAACCATTCAACCATTCAACCATTCAACTAATTAATTAGTTTGTCGGTTTCTTTCGATGCTTGGCACGTAACAGTTCTGCTGTCATCAAGCGCATGTTTCTGTGTAACAAGCAATTTTAGTTCCTTTATACCATCCAATAATCATCAAGAACGTTCTCGAACTCGCAGGGGTTTGGTAGCTTACTAAGTATTTTTAATTTTTCATTTACAAGGCGTCATTTTTTTGGATGACTCTGGTAGATTCAGACAAAAAGACGTGACAACTTGAACGCTGTTTGAGGCGGTAGCTATAATATAATAATGATTCAACGTAGTAATGACAAAGATTTGATAGAGGTATATTTATTGATAAGAATTACTTTTCATTGCTAAACAGGAACGGGATACTCCCCATTGGGCAAATCTAAGGACATTATCTTGGCGGCAAAGACGTTTAATGACAGGACGTAAAAAGCCGTATAGATTCGATTGCCGCATCTTTATGTTCTTGAAACATTATTATAGCTAGGAGAGAATGTTACAGCATGTTGTATGTATCGGTAGTCTACAAATATGTGAAAAACGTGTTCGTATGAGATTTCATTTCATGGATAAAAATAACGGTCGGCAATATGAAAACAACATGCACCCCTTATAATGAAAATCGTCAAAAGTTTCACCATACAACTTTATTTAGAATAGCAAGAAAGAGCAATTGAAACCAAATTACTTGTAAAATATCGACATTATATTACTTCATCAATGAGAATGTTTATCGCCGATTACTATATTAAATAATAGTAATTTTCTGCTAATACTAAATAATGGTATAATACAATTATTAGTGCTACTTAATTCTCGACACGAACTAGGTGACATTTCGGGCGGGGAAGACAATTCCATCAATAGACGGTGAAAATATCTACATTTAGTTTGTTGGTTTTTCAAGAGGAATGTGATAACAGTGTTGACAACAAAATCTTTTTTATTAGCCGCAGCGTAAGACTAAACAGTATTCCTAATAACGCGGAGCATGATTATATCTGCCAAGAAATTTGCACGTCTCACAATATTAATATTAATATACTCTCATTTGCTGATATTTTTTCAACAAGCGCTACGCTTATTTTCGTGTGAAAATCTTTTCCTCACCTTCAAAAAAACCAAACTATCAATTATTGATACCAAATTTCCTTATTTTCCTACCACAAAATGCCCAACTTTATACGAAAAGCTGTAGACCTGTCAACGTATGCCTTGGTTCAATTACTGCATACCCACTGATCGGCGTCGCTTATGCTTATAAGCGAGCAAAAACGTCCGACTTGTCACCTTCCAGAGTATCAACTAGCCACAACTCACTGCCTCTCCGTTGCAAGATATTAATCAGGCGGGTGCGCCACTTCTGTATTGTTAATGCGGGAGCTGGTAATACTGCCTCAAGTGGCATTACCAGGGTGAGCTTTCTCTGCAAACCGTAATCGGATATATTCTTGAGAAATTACCGGTAGACTCTACTCTTATCGTAAAAGGTGATTACAAAAAGAATGAAACATCGAGGATATTAAGCGGCACAGCTAATTGCTTTACGAGGAAATGCCGTGATTGTTTCGATTTCTTTATCTAACGGCAAAAAGTAATACTATGAACCAATCTTTAGAAATCGGACGAGACTTCATCTGTTGAAAAATACGCTTCGTCTCGTGCTCACTATGCCTTGTTCGGTTGCGCGCACGAAGCTCTTGGCGTAGGATTTGCGACGTTCCATTTGATCTCCCACTGAACTGCACCCGAGTTTGTGAATTGACCGAATGACATTACAATGTTGTATGTTAGCAAAGTTGGGTTTGAGAAAACGAGCACATACAAATGCTGCTTCAGATGCTGCTAAAGGTTCCTACGTAAAAGTACAGAAGATGAGTTTGGCTTCAGACGTCGGGACGTCCTTTTACTTATGGATGGGCTATGATATGAAAGCGACCATCACGTCGCACAGCACGGTATTTTTTTTTGTCGAGCTTTTATGAACTTGTCTTGGTTATTGTCTTTTGCTAACTCTCTTCCTTCTTCCCTATATATCGGGAATTGTTTTAGAAGACAAGACACATCCTATTCAAAGCGTGTTCCTGATCACATGGCATAACCGGAGAAGTGTGCTTCCGTGTGTTGTTCACGCTCGCAATTCTTGGCCTTCATCTACATTCCTGCTTAATATGACGTGTATCCGACTTCGTTCAGGCGAAAAGAGCAGACTTGGAAAGGAATACTTTTTCGATCTGCGATATCAAACACATTATTGAGAAAGGTCTTGAGGCAAAGAGCAATGAATGTTTATTATTGCACCTGGCTAGATTTGCCCAGACTCTCGGTCAGAGGCTAGAAATGAAAACTATTCCGCACAGTCGATATGATGTGGTTAACACACTTGTGTATGGCACTTTTATTACCTTTGTGGGAATGCCCTTAAACTTGCAGCATACCTTTACGGCTCCGTAACGATGGAAAGTAATGTTCGGTGTATTGACTATTCATAACAGTCAAGAACCTGTGGAGTTTTATCCTTACAAGATCGGGCAGGTATGAGATCAACCCTTTATCGCCTCTCCAGGCTTTTTTTCTAAGGGATTCAACTTCTTACCGCCTGTTCTTTCACAATGGACTATTAGTAGGCATTCTTGTCATCGCATATATCAAATTTAAGTAACATTATTCAATGTCAATGTAAATAAGATTTGAACTGGAATCTTACCTTATTTGCCGACTGCATTGGTCATTTGGAAAGAGTGTCATTTAGAGCTCGAATGTGGAACGATTAGCACCAATTTCAATATCAAATGGTCTACCCGGCAAAGGCAACTAACAGTAAACGCGCATGACGTTATTTCGTTATCCTTTTAACTCAACCTATATTGACACAAATAATATTTAATCGGAACGGGAGTAAATCCTTGAATAAAGTGCACAACTGTGAATTACATGTTTATTCAAACATATTTGAGTCGCTAAATTATAAGCAATGGACAATGTTAATATTATATATTGACTTTGTTTATATGAACAGTGTCTTCGTAACCGCGCTAATTCCAAACTACTCCCTTACTCCTCGTCAACTCTCCCTAAATCTACCTCTAAACTTGGTAAGCTGAAATCTGATAATGGAGGTAACTGATAAGAATCGTAGCTGTTTCTTGGTTCAGGCAGACCTTTAGTAGGCAAGAGCGTACTGGAATATTTACTCTCTTTCTCGAGGCGTGACAATGGTTTTACATCATTACGATAGATAGTATTCCACGTGTTGTCATCAGAACTTTCCATATAAGCCCTGTAAATATCATCGTAAAGTGTCTTTGGATCAGGACGCTTATCAGGATCAGCGTCACAACACCGCTCGGCAAGTTTCTTGTATTCCTCTGGTGCGGAATCAGGCATCGATGGTCGCAATCCGCCCATAATATCGCATATTAAATCTCTATCGAGCCGCCTATCTCTAAAAGGAGGTTCACCAGTAGTGACCAAATACATAATAATACCCAAAGAATACACGTCTGATGTCTGAGTGAATTTGTGGGTATGAAAGACTTCTGGTGCAATAAATGGTAAATTGCCTCGAATGTTTGACCTTTGTTCATATGAATTCACTGGTTGAGAAAGGCGAAAATCGCAAATAAATGCAATACTATTACCTGGAGTATATGTATGCAAGACTATGTTTCCGCCATGAAGATTGCAATGCACTAGACTCATAAAATGAATAACTTGCAGATGAGATGCAATATCATACACATGCTCTAATTTCTTCTTCCATGTCAGTTTGTTAATATTTTGATCCAAATAAGACAAAAGATTACCATTGTTAGCATATTGCATAACAATCATGTAGTCTTTTGTTTCTGGTTCTTGTGTGACCCCGTAAAGTTGAAAGAAATCATAACTGAAATAATAACACTTGGCATAATTTCTGACCTATAAGGTAATAGTAATAGTAAGTAAATGAATACAGAGTCAAACATATTATGTTATAGGTTGTTCTGTAAAAAAAATGCTTACCTCAGAAACAAATAATTCCAGTGTCTCATCAAAATTTTTAAAACGTTTGAGTACAACAGTTTCTGGAATATTTTCTGCCATATTAATATACTCTTTATACTTGGCAGTATAAACTGTGCCATAACCACCAGAACTGATCTCTTTGAGTTTAACAAAGTCACCATATTCCCTATACTTTATACATTCATAACGATAATTATACCGTGCTATGATTTTGTTCAATACTGGGTGTACTTCATGG